TGGGCTGAATTGCACAAAACGCATGATCGCACCGGCTAGTCTGGTGCGCGTTGCTATTTTTTTTTTGCCAGTACTTTCCATATCCCTCAGAAACGAAACAGGTAGTCAGTTCCTTAAACAGCTAAGAAAGGGGAAAATAACCGGAGAAAATAAAAATAAAAATCAGGGACTGTTCCTCACAACATCTTCCACTCTTTCCCCCAACACCAAGCCACGCGTGACCATGCCAACTACCTTAAAAGTGCTAGTAATAACACTGCTACAGATACCTTGTGTATCTCAACTGCTCGTTATACCTGTTGCATTTTGTGCATCAGAGAATTGCCTGATGAAGCCCAAAATTACACCGCAGGAAAGCTACAGCAGTTCTAAAAGCCCACCGTAGGTTCTGGTCTGGGCTATTTCAGTGGTAAGAAGCAGGGAGAGGGATAGCAATTGCAGCTCTCAAACAGAGTGAGAGTATAAAAGAAGAGTTACCGTTTCGAAGCTGCTGTTGAGTTTGCTGTTCGGAACGAGGTCAGAGGCATTATGCGTGTCCAAAGAACTAGGACGCGTTTCGCGACTTTTACGACTCATCGAAAGCCGATGAATGAGACGAACAAACGGCAAGGAATTTCGTTTTGTTTTCGAAGGTGGCGACAAATGCACACCGTTTTCCACACGTAATGTCCCTTCCGCACTTTTGGTCCCCTAAACTAAGTCAGTAATGATGATGATGATGATAATGATGATGATGGAAATAGTAATAATAATGATGCCGTCATCAATGAAAACTAAGCATTTGCAGCACTGAAGTGCGCTGAAACGGTGAAGGTGAAATAAGTGCAGATTTATTCAACACTCAAATACCATTAGACGCCCAAAAACCGAAAAAATTTTCATTCCACTAATAAAGATGTCTCCGCTGACCTTTCATCGGAAAAGAAAGCAAAATTTTAGGGATTTTCAAATAACGTCCTCCAATTTCTGAAAATATTTCCTTTGCTGCGTCTGATTATTCAGTTAAAAAATTTTGTTAAACTTCCATGAGTTTTTAAGAAGAATGCAAGTTTTCACTTATTTTTAATTTAAAAAAATTTTTTTAGTTGAAAAAAAACCTGTAATAAGTGCATATCAGCAGCGAAGGTTTCATCCGCTGCATTTGCGAAACAGCAGTGTCAAAATTTAAGTGAAAAAAAAAATTACATTTCCCACCGAATGTCCTAGCTGAGTGCCAGGTGAAGTAGCTGATTCCTGCTTCGATGCAGCTGATTCTCGAGGACTTCTATTGCGACTTCTGATCGAGCCGATTCGAGATAGGAAATGTCCAAGCGCGCTTGGCCGTTCTTTATGCTGATCCATCTCACTCTGCACTGGATATTTCTTCGCATCCGTAACATCTTTAAAATAAAAATCTATAAACTTCCATCACTGATAGTATACCGTGTAAATAAACCCAAACTGCGGCAAAGAACGGTAATTCGGTGAAAAAAATAAAAAGAAATGGACACAGAAACGGAACAGTGCTCGAATGAGTGGAAGTACACTACTGTGCAGCTTGTTTGGTCGTTAAGTACAAGCTCTTTTCAGTTAGCGATGCACAAGAATGCTCACTTTTAACAGTCGACCTACTTTTCGTGAAAAAAGTTGAGTCAAAGTCAAAAATCCAGTGAGATGCGGAGGCACTCAGGAAGTTGCCCAGCAGTAGCAAATGCCAACAGCAACCATTCGCTGGCAGGGCTGTCAATGATTCTCTCCTCTGGGGCTTACTCATAAGAAACTGGTGACCGTGATCAAGAAATAACCAAAATACCGTAGAATTTCGTGGAAAGAAAACTGTCGACATAGAAATGTTGAGGTGCGCTCTAGAAGACAGCGGAAGTATCGGTGCTAGATTCAAATACTAAACTATCCAGGAGTATGAAAAATTGTGGGAAGGACATTTTTATGACGCGGTAAGCAACGGATGGTGCCAAGTAAAACGTTAAAATTCTCCGACAGAAAGCAATCTACAACAGGAAAGGGCACTAAGAAGGAACCTGAGCGACAGCCAACTGCCAGTATCAACCACTGGCAGGCAAGGATACTTGTCAGGGAGTCCACTGCCAACGATTTGTTTGCAGGCAAGCCAGTGAATGCTTACTGCTCGAGCCGCTTCCGAATATCCACGTCTGGTAGAAAGTAAGCCGTGCAGGCACATAGCCTTTTATGCGTTTTTGCATATGTGCAAATGCAAAACTCGGCAACCAAGCAAAATTCGGCACCGAAATTTCGCCAATGGGTCCCCCAGCCAAATGCTATCTCAAAACTGCTCGCTGGACAACTAGATCATTTTCAAGGAACGACCGCTAAACGGGAATTGTTCATTTTCCTTTATGCAAGATTTACGATGATTTACGCTAGTGAACGCACAAGGTAAGGGTAAAGCAGCAACCATTCATACAACTAACGACCTGACTGCTTCAAGATTAGTGCAAAAACGCATGATCGCACCGGAAAGTCTGTGCGTTTCAGCCCAGCGGCTTTTTTAATGGATTTTATCTCAACTTGTATGCTTCCAGAACAAGTTGAGTTTTGAAAAGATACTAAAATGTTGCGAGAGAGATGACATTTTTTAGTAAAACGTTTAATATTTCCGGTGCAGACTCTTTTTTGCTACAAGTTACATATCTAGCGAAACAATTTATTACATTTCCTTCCTTTTTTTCTTTTTTTTTTTGATTAATCGTCATACTGGTGAAGTTCAGTTGCAATACGAAATGCATATGACTTGATGGATTAAAACATTCCTGCTTAGTTTTTCGTTATTTCAACGTTCTTCCAAATCGTTTTTCTGTACATGCGAATAATATTAATCAATTTCCAATGTACTTATGTTCTTATAATTCATATTCTCTTAAATCATTCTGATCCTTGACAAACAAAGGCCTTTTAGTTAAACCCAGATGAGCCGCAGCTGCCGTCCACCAGCTGTGAAAAAAAAAAAACTTACTGTCTGCAGCTGATATCATCCTGCTACAGAAAGCGCACCTTCCTGCCACTTCAACGAACAACTGCAATTGTACCCGTTAACAGTTACATTATTTAAGCAACAAAGCGCTGCCTAGCCAACCACTTTCACATCTTCCTCATTTACAATTACTGCAATCGGAAACTAGAACCCGAGACACCATGAAATTAGCAGCAATATGCACCACCGGAGGGGAAGAATCTTTGCCAGCCTGACACCCTGCTGCATCCCTCGAACCAGCACGAAGCCACCTTCTGCCCCTTCTCCCCCATTCCAATCAATCATCAGCAGCGAAAAGCTGAGAAGACCGCACCCGGCTTATACAGAAAGGAACTGAAATTGTAGAAGGCGCAGGTGAAGGCGAACAGTCATCAAGGGTTGCCTTCCCATGCCCAAAGTCGACTTATCCGAACAGCAAACATCTCCTCAATGAATCCCGATCACCCTATGCCCAAAATATAAGGTTCAAGACCGGTCACCCCGGCCGAGCAGAAGTG